AGAAGCTAATAATGCAACATTAGCTGATTGCTTTGTTTATTTGATTAAGTTAGCCGCAGCAATTAATAACTTATCTGGAACAAACAGTTTTAAAATTTCAGCCATTTATGTCTTTAATCGACATTATGAGGAATTTTTGCATCCACTTTATATTTTAGCCTATTATATTCATCCAGAATATAGAGGTAAGATTTTTCATAATTGTTTGGAGTATGATAAAGAACCTATATTCTATCCAGCTATTTGAAAATGGTGATTTTAGCCGATATAAAAAACTTAATTAAAGTAATAATTTATTGATCAATTTGAAATCATTATTTTAATTTTTTAGGAAAAGGTTTAAAAGATCAGGGGTTTCATAAAGCAGCACTTACTTCTCTTGAACTTTGGCAGAATCTTGGCCATACTCGATTAGAAGGTGAAGAATTGATTGCACAATTGCGCCATTTTGAGGCACGTTTGCCACCATTTGACCTTCCCTATGTTGCTAGTATAGACACTTCAAAAATTTGTGGGGTTCTTTCAAAAATCAACCTCAACATTTAGCTGAATTGGCACACAGGATATTTTCGATCAACCCTACACAAGCCGGCTGTGAGAAGAATTTTTCAACATTAAAGTGGATTCTTGGAGAGCGACGAGTAGGCTTGAGTTTAAATAGGCTGGAAGGAATGGCAAAAATTAGATCATATTATATGACTAACGTTCGACGTGAGCTAAGTTTTTTTGATAAAGAATTGTCAGAAAATGATCTTTGAGATGCATGTAATCTGACATCAGTTGGTAATATAATGGATTTTGTGAATAATCAAATGAGAGTTAGTAGTGAGAATTCATTAGATAGTGTAGTATCAGATCATTCTACAACTCTATTAATTGAGGATATTGTTGATTTGACAGTTGGAAACAATTATGAACATTCGGCAAGGACGGCCCAAAGCATTTCTCCTGTTGATTTGGATTATAATCCTCTTGATGTATTAAATGGTTTTTTAGAACGTGAAAATCAAAATAATAGTCAATAAATATGATTCATGATTTTGAAATATATAATGCCTATATCGTTGTTATTGTCGTGCTTGAAGTTAGCATCTGCTTGAAGTTGTAACTTCAAGCGCCCGAAGTTGAAATTACTAACTAACGCGTGCAAGGAAGATCTAATTTCAGGAGTTAATTTTAGTTAGAATGCCTAAATTAGTAACTTCAAGCAAATGTCATGACATTATGACAAAAAATTTAAAGTTGAAAAAGATGAGTGCATGGTATTACCTATCTAAAATCTGCCAATATGGTGAAATCAGAGTCGAGAAGATCGCTACAAAAAATCTGCTAAATCTGGAAATGCGCATTATTGTTATTGTAGAATAAGATATTCATATATTATCAAAACCCGCAAAGGCTGATAGTTCTCTTGAAACTGTGTTGCGATAAAAGAAATTCTTATAATTTCAATTCATTTCAAGGTATATTTACATAAAGAAAATATATTACAAAATAATTTATGTAATTTTGGTATTAGCTAATATTGCATTAAAATTAAAATTTAATAAAATTTATGAAGTCAACAATGCATCACCTCAGAAAGTTATTGATACTTTATTTACTTTAAACTGCAGTTCGATTTGTTCCCAAAATGTTACTATATTAAATTAATCATGTCTACGGGAAAAATCATCAACATGCAAAAAAAAAAATAATAAAGTAGATTCTACGTAGTCAAGTCAGTCTTGTAATTCTAATGATAATTTTTTTGTTTATTCCTCGTATTCATATGTTATTCGAATATTATTCGAATAAGAAATCAGTAAGCCCCAATTACGACATACGGCAAGTATACGGTATTACGGCATATGGCAAGCATATGGCATTGCAGTATATGGCAAGTATACGGCATTATGGTATACGGCAAGTATACGACATTACGACATACGGCAAGTATATGACATTACGACATATGGCAAGTATACGGCATTATGGCATATGGCAAGCATATGGCATTATAGTATAGAGCAAGCATATGGTAAGCATACGGTATTACGGTATACGGCAAGTATACGACATTACGACATACGGTGAGTATACGGCATTATGGCATACGGCAAACATACGGTATTACGGCATACGGCAAATATACGGCATTATGGCATATGGCAAGCATACGGCATTATGGTATACAGCAAGGAATACGGCAAGTATATAGCATTACATCACATGTCAACACATACGGCATTACGTCAAACGTCATATATATGTCATTGCGTTATACGTTACCTGCTATGGCATTATAGCAAACGTCACCTTCTACGTCTATGTTAAATGTGACGTATATGCTATGACGTTGACGTAAAGATAGTTACCTTTTGTCTACAAAATGTCCACAGCTTTAGGTGTAACATAACACGATCAAGAAAATTCAAAACAAATGTTCGTTTTGTCAAAAATCGCAGATAACTCAAAATTTGGTCTATAAAACCACCTTTGCGCACTAATAAAAAATTTTCCTTACAAAATTTTCGTATAGGAAATGGTTTTAAACATTAATCTAATAGCAAAATCCTAACCCTAACCTAAAAATACGAAATTTTTACTTGAAACTTTTTTGGGTGGCGATTTTACCACGGTTAGAATCTGCCATGACAATTTTGTTTCGACAAGAGATACTAAACTTTAGATGAGAAATAAGTCATTTGTGAAAATTAATCAAAATTTTGTGTTCAGACTACATTAATTTTCGAGTAAAATAACTCAACACTAATAATAAATGACCACATGTTGAGTCAAAAATTCTAAATATAATGATGAAAAATAGATTATACCTAATAAACAAAACCTCTAAAATGAAAAATAATTAATCCAATACTTGAGTCAAAAATTTTAAATATCAAGTCGAAAATTGAATGTGTAAATTCACCTTATCATATTGTGTTTTGCAAATATTGGTAAAAAGATTGGTCGCTTTTTTACAAAAAATAAAGTGAAGATTTATTTTAATTAAAAAATTTAAAAATAACATTCCAGAGAAATATTAACGTATATTCAATCTATTGATTATTAATATTGTTTTAACCGCAGTAATAAAAGGTACAAATATTTATCTTTTTTGAGTTTTTTCATGATAAATTTTTATCAAATTATACAAATAAATGAGACACATGTTCAAAATTATTATTTAGGCTAAACAAAATTCTCAGATTTAAGCTTTTGCAACATTGTCTTGCATTCATTTCTTTAAAAAATACCACCATTATAACAACACATTTTCTTAATTTTATGTCCTTTATGTGGGTTTCATGATACTGCGTCCAAGTCGTGAGACCTGGAAACTTTACAGCTCAAACAGTAAAGGCCAATGTATCAAATGTTTTTTCTTTGTAATATAGTTTTTTTAAATATAGTCAAGTAATAAATTTATTGGGTTGTTTAATTATCAGAAGGATTGAGGACATTCATATAATTGGTTTAATTTTTGTAGATCTACCCGTAGTGTTCCGAGTTGGTAAAAATTTGCCAATCAATTAGTTGCCAACTATAGTTGCAACTAATCGATTTGTCTTATCACATGAAATCATCAAATAATTAGCCAATCAAATCGAAGAAATCAACACGGATCAGTCAAAATAGATGGAATATCTCATAATTGTACTAGTTGAATAATTAATCGATTAGTTGTTTAAAAATTTTTCAAATCAACTAGTTGGAAAGTTGGCAACTAGTTAATTTTTTAACTACCAATTTGGAACACTATCTACCTGTGATTTACCATGAAGAATAACTAATCAAAATGTATAATTTTCCTATATACTAGAAAACGAAAAATCTTCACATAAAGAAGCTTATAAACTAATAAATACATGCAAATGAATTCGTATTTTTAGTCATCATGAGTATGGCATTAAGATATAACAATAATTACTTTACTATAAATGAAAATATGGCCCAAATAGTTTTTTAGTATGTTTCACGTGCAAAAAGTAAATTTTGGCATACATAGTTTGCTTAATACGACCTTTATTGCTTTTATTGTTATGGCAGTTAGTTACCAAGCAAATCAGATTGCACGATTAACCAGCTTTTGCAGATGCACTCGCGAGATAATAGATTAATGTCTTTATGAACTATAATTTATTTTAATTCCAATACATTTCTATACCATGTTGAACCTCTAAACGAGAAATAAAAGCGTTAGCAGGTGCCATTTGTGAAACATCAATGTAAAACAATGGATGCCGTTAAAAGACAAAGTTAAAATTTTAATTCAAGCATCCATATCAAAAACTGAACAAATAAAATGTATATTCTATAATCCTGAATCCAAAAAGTAATGAAACTTAAGTTCATCTACTAAATACTGTACTTGAATCAAAAATTTTAAATATGATGAGAAATGGATCCTATACCTAATAAAACCATCTAA